TTGGAGGGAAGTGAGGAGTCCAAAGGGAAACATATTTGCCTTACTTGCCTCCTGGTCACCGAAACATGCGAGAGATTGTACATGTTCAGATCGGACAATGCGGGAATCAAATGGGCTCAAAGGTAGTGAGAAACATTACTTTTTACCATTTATTGATTTGTAATTTAGTTTTGGGAGGTGATTTCAGATGAGCACGGGGTGTCTAACGAAGGCATTTACAAAGGTGATTGTGACCTACAATTGGAACGAATTTGCGTTTACTTCAATGAAGCCACAGGTATGGGACTTCATGCATTTACTTTTACTATAATGATTCGGTACTAACAAATTAGATGGCCAGATTGGGATTCTTAGTTTAATTCACAATATAAAATTAATTTGGCCTCCTTGGGTTAATCATTGTTGTCAATTCTTTCTCTTTTTGACTTTTCATGTAAAAGGAGGGAAGTTTGTCCCACGTGCTATTCTCTGCGATCTGGAACCGGGCACCATGGATGCTGTCCGCTGCGGTCCAGTAGGGCACTTATTCCGTCCAGACAATTACATATTCGGTAATACAGGCGCAGGAAACAATTGGGCCAAGGGTCACTATACTGATGGCGCCGAATTAATCGATAGCGTTATAGAAATAGTTCGCAAGGAGGCTGAGTATTGTGAGTGCCTGCAGGGTTTCCAGGTGATACATGCCCTTGGTGGTGGCACTGGTGCGGGAATGGGAACCCTCTTGATAAGCAAAATACGGGAAGAGTTCCCTGACAGAGTCGTTTGCAGCTTCTCCACGGTACCTTCTCCTAAGGCAAGTCTAGTTAGCATGAGTTCAGTTTCATAGATTTCTTAGTTTGTTTAAATATATTCTATATTCTCTCCATTTTTCATAGTATTACTTCAAAATGAATATGGCTGTGTCTGATTTTTTTTTACTACCATCTCCCTAATCTTCCATTTAATATAACTTGATAATGTCATCTACATTTTAGCTGTTAAGAGCTCAGATATCTGTTCTGCAATTATCTAAACTAACAAAACTTGAATAGAGTACACGTGTAAAGACTATGATTGCGAGTGGCATGCCTTATTACTGACTCAGATACCAGTTTCAGAAAGTTGCCGAGACACTTGCATGTGTAACTGGCCCTGGCGTCACTAGTATATTAACCTCAATGCAAAGCCAAGTAAGCTACATCCACTCTTATATGTGAGACTAGATGCACCCTAGAATTTGCTGTAGCTATCAGGAAAGTGCAAACCCAAAAAATACATAATTTTTACATTGAACTTAC